AAAAAAGCGTGGAAATAATATTTTAATTACAGTGAATTTGTGTAAAAACTATTATATAAAAGGTATGTAGCATGGTTTAATAAAAATTTAATTGTAATTCGACGAATTGTTGTCGTAAAATTAGTTTGGAAATTTTGCAAAATCGCGCCGAATGTGCCTCAGCAAGCCATCGTTTCAAGATGGCGGACATTGGTTGGCGGCATTGTGACTGCAGAGAAAATTTGGCATAATTCTATTTTAACACTTAAAAATTCGCTTTAATTCAAATTAAGTTTGCTTTACACAAAATAGGGTTTGTTTAAAAGAAGGAAATATTTCTCCATCGTTTATTAAAACAAATGCAGCTGGTTGCAAATGGCATTGGTGCGTCGACGCTGGCGTAGGCTGAGCCTCGCGTTGACGCCAATCGGGTTTCCGATGCTGCCGGCGACTACTATCGATTATTTATGTCATAAACACGTTGTGAGTTAAAGCCCGAATTTGGCAATTTAGCGTAACTTAGAACTTAGAAAATCAAAATGAAACTGAATTTGGCGGGGTATTAAATTACGTAAAGTTTCGACGGTGCAAATATAAGCAACATGATTGATGAAAATTTGCAACACGTTGCTAGAAATTCACACCGATCGTGATACTTTAAAAAATCGCGCTACACTGTGCTTGTGATTGCAACTCGAACAAGCCTTATTGTTCTTATTTATTTTGCATATTTGCAGTTAATTTTACATTTTAACCTAAAATGGCCACTGACGCACAAGCCAATAACGAAGACTACTCCCAAGAGTATGGGGATGATGACAACAGCCAAGAATATGATGATGATCAACCACAAGGAGATTTTGATGATCAAGAGGAAAATGACGACTACAATGACCAAAGCCAAGACCAGTCAGGTGGCGGTGGTACTAGCACTTCTGGTAGCCCTAAATATATCCGTTTACGTGGCTTACCATGGTCTGCGACGCATCAAGAAATCTTAGATTTTCTGGGAAATGTTAATGTTGTTAATGGCTCAAAGGGTATTCATCTCATAACCAGCCGCTGGGATGGCAAAAATACCGGTGAAGCATACGTTGAAGTGCAGGCCCAAGAGGATGTTGAAGAAGCGCGCAAATTAAATAAGGGTAGTATGGGACATCGCTACATTGAAGGTAAGTGTAATGCAAAACGGGGAAAAATTTAAATAAAACTCCATTGTTTTTTTTTTTTTTTTAAGTATTCACCGCTAACCCAAAGGAAGCGAAAGAAGCCATGCGTAAAACCGGTAGCCATGGCGTATCATACGTTGTGAAACTGCGTGGACTGCCATATGCAGTCACCGAACAACAAGTTGAGGAATTCTTTAACGGTAAGTAGAGGCTTTTGTGGTTTTCACTTAGTTAGTGTGTATGTATAGCAACGTTAATGAAAATTGGAGTTTGCAATATTTTGAGTTTGGAGGGTGTTATTGGATACATAATTAGTTTTTTTTTTTTTTTGAAAAAAATCAGCAATCATTTTTTAAAGTAATATGCTGATACCTCTGTTGGCGAGGTTGGTATTTGTAAAACTTACCATTAAGCCTATTTGTTTTTGTTTAAAATAGGCAGTTACTTTCTAGAAACTCACCATATTTACTATTTAGTATATAAAGGGTTTTCCATTTAAATTTTTTTTTTTTTTTTTTTTTTTTTTAATAAAGCACTTAGAACTGGATGTCGGAATTATTATTATTGCCCGAAAGAAGCACCTCTGACATTTACTTTTTAAAAATAATTTTATTCAAATATTGGCTGCGACTACGCTGTAGGTGGTCCATTCGAAAGGTCCAATTTTCAGTTAATCTTGCCAGCAATGCGCGTTTTGAATTATAGACTTCACATGACCCTAGGTGTGATCACACGATACCTTTCTGAAACCAAATGTTGCCGATATCACGGGCTTCAATTTCAGCCAGCAAAGAGTTCGTTATATTGTTTGGGTAGCGCTCGCCTTTGACGATTATGTTCTGTCTACGCCCAAAATTTGAATGGAATTATGTGTTTTTAAAAATTAAGTGCCAAATTACTCTTTCGGGTAATAATAAAGATTCCGACATCCAGTTCTGTTTTTGTTTTATTTGAAATTAAAAAAAAAAACAAGGTCTAGATGGATCAATCCGTACATAGAGTATTGGCCATATCTTTAGCACCCCCATTTCAAAGTGATATTGTTTGCCACTTATGTTTAATTACTAATTTTTAAGAATTTTCAATTAAAACAGTTCATTCTCTAACAAAATCCAAATAAAGCCAAGTTTTAAATTTTGTAAAATACTACAAAAAAATGCAACAAGTTTTCACCTAAATTTCAAATATTTTTCTCAGAAAGGTAAGAATTATTTGAGTACGCAGTTGTATAGCTCATTCAATTTTAGTCTATTTATGTGTAAGTTTCAAGGGGCTAAAAATAACCGTTAATTTTTTAGATTTTTTTTGTGTCGCATTTTCTTCCATATAACGAATAAACACAATTTATTTTTATATGGAAGAAACCCGCAACACCTTCGAGAAAATTCTATAAAAGCAACGGTTATTTTTAGCCACTTGAACTTTGCACATTGTGAGACTAAAATTGGAAGAGCTATGAACTGCGTACTCAAAAAAATTCTAACACTTCTGAGAAAAAAGTTTGAAATTTTTGTGAAAATTTGTTAAATTTTTTTTTCTACAAAGTTTGAAACTTGGGTATTTTAATTGAATATTCCTAAAAAAAAAATAAACTTGAGTTGGAAACAATATTACTTTGAAATGGGAGTGCTATTGTATTGGCTAATACTGTATGTATGTACATACATATCTACGCATTTGTACAATCATTTGGTCTTTAAAATCATGTAGTTTTTTTTGTTGAATGTTTTCAAGGAGAAATCTTTACGTTATAAACAAACAAAAAATGTGTATTTAGCGATTTCGACTAATAGTAATATTGATTTAACATATTTTAGTTAATTTAGCAAATTTTTAGATAAGGCAAACAACCTTTGTTCGTTCCTCTTTATTTAAAACCAATTGTGCAAACTTGGTGCCTCTACTACTCTTTCCAATAGCATTACATTACAACAGCAAGCAACGACACAGCGTTACAATATATGCAGCAATAATGATGATTTTTTTTTTTATAAAGTTTCTCATAGAACAAATACAAAAAACAAAAAAAAAATTGTATACTATGAATTGAAAGAATTCTTACATTTGGTTGTTATCGTCATGGGCAGGGTTGGAAATCAAACCGGATCGGGAGGGAATACTTTTTGTTATGGACAAAAGGGGTCGTGCGACTGGGGAAGCTTTTGTTCAGTTCGAAAGCCAGGAAGACACTGAACAAGCCTTGGGACGTAATCGGGAAAAGATTGGGCACAGGTGGGTTGTCACTATAATTTCTTTGTCTCTTAAATAATAATGAATAAAACGAACATTTCTCTATTAATAAAAAAAAAAATAATTAAATACATATATGCAATTACCTTTTTTACTACCATTTTGTTTTAGGTTCTTATGCAGAAAAAACTAAAGCCAAACTGAATTGTTAAAAAATCAGTTTGTGGGTTTCTTTAATTAAAAACATTGAGTGAAAAACTCGAAAGTTGTTACCGAGAAATTTTGTGGATTCGGTTAACGTTTCGGTGTCTTTAAGGCACTCTGGACCTTTACTCTGGTTTAAGGGAATACTCCCAATGGAGTGGTTGAAAAGACCTCCACGAAAATTTATTGTCTGATATATTTTGAACAAGTTTTTCTTAGTAAAATCAAATTGCACATTTTGACCAGAAAATCTAACACTAGACACCAAAGTGTTTAGACAAAAAATTATATATCACTTTTTAGTTTTTAATTCCAAGTCTACTATTGAATTCTTAATTCTCGAAACATGTTTTCTTAACTTCTTCGGCTATAAAAAGTGTCTGACAAAAGTCTTCCAGCGTTTGATAAAAAACAATCTGTTTCAAGTTTTCAGTGCATTCAATTTACCTAAATTGGAAAAGTATGAGTAATATTTTATTAGATATCATATCAACTGTTCCTATATCCTAGACAGTCCAGCATAGCTAATTAAATAATTTTTTTCGCATTTACTTAACTCGCTAACTACTAAAATATTTTCTAATAAAAAAAAACTAGTTTTGGGCTACGGTTGTGGGTGGGGGTCTTGGTTGGGTCCTTAACCACATACGCAAGCACACACGCACAGCGAGCCTAGTCAGCGAACATTTTCTCAGAACTACTATTTAAATGTATAAAAATTGACAATCAGTCGCTTCAGAGATTTTAAAATATTCACAACAATATTTAGTTTATACAGCATACAATTAAAAAAGAAAAAAAAAACTAGTTGAGCGAAATGACGTTGAAGATTTCGTTAATATCATACGAAAAGGTCAAGCTGTCCCGGCTGCTGTGTTTATTTTTTACCCACTTTAAATAATCCGTTTATTTTTCCTTCCACACTACAGGTACATTGAGATCTTTCGTAGCTCTTTGGCTGAGCTGAAGCGTGCCTCCAAGGGTAATGGGCGTACAGGTCCGTATGACTTGAAGGATCGTGGCGGCAATCGTGGCAATGATTTTGGCGGCGGCCGTAATATGCGTGGCGGCAATGGTAAACATTTTACGTACTTCACATTTGAAACTGTATGTTTAAACTGCATACTTTCGCCGCAGATTGGGGCAACAACGGTGGCCCGTTTGGCATTGGCGCTAATAATTCACTTGGCTTCAATAATCTACCTAATTTTACTAACTCTGGCAATTTTGGCAATAATTTTGGACCTAATGGAGGTGGTGGCAACGGCGGCGGTGGCTTTGGAAATGGCGGCGGTGGTTTTGGCGGTTTCGGCAATGGCGGAAACTTTGGCAACGGTAATGGCAATGGCGGCGGTGGTGGCGGCTTTGGTGGCAATAATCGTTTCAACAACAGCGGCGGCAACTTTGGTAATGATTTCGGTGACTTTGGCAATTTTGGCAACAACCGAAACTTCAGCAATGGCGGCAATTTTGGCAATGATTTTCCTAGCGGCAATAATCGTAACGGCGGAAGCATCGGTGGGGGACCCAATGGCGGCGGAAACTTTGGCAATTTCGGCAATTTCTTCGATAGCAACGGTGGTGGCGGCGGCGGTTCAGGTGGTGGCAATGGAAATATGGGCGGTGGCTTCAATGGCGGCAATGCCATGGGCGGTGGTGGCAACAATGGCGGCAATTTTGGACCCATTGGTGGTGGTCGCAATGATAATGAATACTTTACCATACATATGCGCGGACTGCCATATCAGGCCTTCGAAAATGAAATTTATAAGGTGCGCATTTAGCTTTTAAATGTTACGTGGTATTAATGCAACTACACTTTGGAATATCATTTACAAACGCTATATTTTCCTCTTTACAGTTTTTCGACCCGATTCGCCCATCCAACGTACGCGTAAATTTCAACAAGAAGGGTTTGCACAGTGGCACCGCTGATGTTTTCTTCGAATCATATGAAGATGCACAGCTAGCGATGAAGCGACATCGCGAGCAAATGGGTTCACGTTATATTGAGCTCTTCTTCGATGGCAAGACCAAAGTCGGCAATATACAATCTGGTGGTGGTGGCGGCGGTGGCAACTACTCTCGCCGTATCTAAATAATTGAAACGATAAGAAGTGGAAGGCTTGGCTTCTTTACATTTGCTAAAATGTAATGCGCAAGTAAAAAGATAAAACCAAGCCAGAAGGCAAATGATAAATGTTGCACTACGTAACAAAAAATTCAAATAAAAACAATTATTACAAGCAATGCCGTCATTTGTGAACGATCCGCATGTTTACTGCATTCAAACTATGTATTGCAATGGTCCAAACTCATGTAACACCGTTACTTTTATAATAATTTAATTTGTAATTTGTCTATGCTGTAAGTCAATTCAATAACATGAAACTATCTACCCATAAATTTAAATAAAGAATACCGTTAAGTTTTATTTTTTAACGCATAGTGGAAAATGAAAATGTATTCTTTGTCACGCATCCTCGTGCCTACATACATGCATATGCGTACAAACCTGAAATAATTTTAACACGCACATTGCTGAATCGGAAGTTTCAAATGAGTTATTTTTTTATTTGATTAGTTTTAAAAGCTTAACGTTGTCGCTTTATTTTCAAGCAATTTTCCTCAAGCAAAGCGGGTTCTAAAATCTCAATTGTTAATATTTAACAAAAATCCATTTACTTAATTACTGTAATAAAAATATATTTTTCTTATTTTCTAATCATCAAGTTTTCATCTAAAATATATTTCTGAAAATGAACGGGTAACAAGAAGCTATACCGAAATTTGTCAATAAAGATAAAGAACTTTTGAATTAATTATTCATAACTCTGTAAAACTGGAACATTGTACGTTTATGCAGAAGTTTTAAAATAAAATTAAATTTTTAACTCTTCAGGAGGCAAAAAGAAAATAAAGAAATGGACGTGTAATATTTGGTTTTGGAAGGATAGATATGGGTTAGATTGGGCATATATGGTCCACGACAGACAAGTTTTTCCACCTAACAAGACTGCAGAAAGATGTGAAGCACGCAACCGCAAAATGCTCCCGTTCGTAATGGGGGCTGACTCTAATTCACACCAAACGGTATGCGGCTCAAGCGACCAAGAGAAGGGTTTACTCTTTTAAATAACTTTCTTTTTGCAACTGTGGCAATGATCCCACATCATCTGTCAGAATAGAAATGCAGGACGTTACCCTCGTATCGAGCAGTCTCTCAGCAGATAAGAGATTGACAGGCGGCCAAAGAGCACTCTTCCTGACCACCCCTACATTAGTTCTAAGCTGAAACTGGGAAAAATATAAAAATCCATTGTCTATAAGGATGTAGTTCTCATGTCTCTCGAACACGAAGGTTGAGCTGGACTTATTGGCAAAAATTAATGAATCGGTGAACTTTGTGACAAATGCCTGCAATTCCTCGTTGAGGGCCTCCTGCACAAACACCCCCCGAAAGGCGAAACGAAACCCCAGGTGGTACTTAGATTTCAGCACTGAGCAAAAACAGCAGAAGGCTTTTCAATTAAGCCAAGAGAACAGGTTTTTAGCGACCTCACTCAAGTTTGCCATAAAGAGGGCGAAACGCGAACCTTGGCATAACATACATAGAAGAAAATTCTAAAGTCAATCTTCTTCAAGTATGAACTCTATCCGGAAGCCTAAAGGTTACTGGACATCATGTAACGAATGGTGGATATCTTATGAGCACTCACTTCCCGGGGTCTTTGACAACACCTCCGACACTTCAAACGGCCCTAGGACCCACTCGTTAAGAATAATCAGCCTCATTGCGCTAGACGTAAATTAGGCTAAATTGTACGACCCGACAACATTGGCATTGCCTACTGTCGTGCTGAAATAAGTAAACGACGAAAATCGTCGAAAACTTCGCAGTGCTGCCAAGTTTTTCCGTTTTAATACACTAGTCGAGTGGAAATTTTAGGCAATGACGTGAAATTTTCGATACGTTTCGACTCTCGAAAAACGACTTACATTCGATACGACTCTTGCAATGAGGGTGAATAAAAATTTTTTTACGCCCAAGTATGATAGACATTTTATTTTATTATATTATACATATATTGTTTATAAATGAATTATATTTTTGTAAATCATATATTTTGAGTCATATGTTTTTGAGAAAAATACACCGTAGTAATTTGAGAATTTCAAAATTACATTTCTCAACTGAAAAATAAGATATTTGCGCTAACTCGAGGGCACACATTGTGCTTTTTTAACACTTCATGCGAATTAATTGTTGCGCTTTCGACAGAAGCAATATTTTGATATGAAACAAGATGGCTTTAAAAGCTAATGTAATGGCCTGTCACGGAAAAATTTTACCATTGAGCCACAATTACTCCTTGACCTTAAAAAAATTGGTCAAAAATAGTGTTCTTTGAGAAAAGAACATGCAAAATCAAAGGGATATGTATGTATATTCCAAAAAAATATTCTTTTCATTTTTTATTATACTAGTATTATAGATTTTGAGACGAGAAACACGACTGTCCCGAGCTAGCCAAAATGCGCAACCACTTCTTTCACGGGTATACATTTTTTGTGCTTTATAAAACTTACTCGGTTTCCACCAGTAGCATCGCCACGGGCTTTTCCAGCCTACATGGTCTCCATGCTCTGCGCGGTGGCAGCCACTCTAACCTAGCAAGCAGCACTTCTGATTGTTATTTTTATATACCGGCTTTCCTAGACCACCTGTCCACTCCTTCTAAAGTGGAGGAAAATGTTTTTTTTTTTAAGGAAAACGGCAGAATAGGAATTACCAAGTTTGATCGGAAGTGGGTTAAACAGACCGGAAGTCCATTGTTTTAACCGGAGGTCTATTCTAGAAAAAAGTTACATATTTTTGTGCACAGAATCCGAATCTGCGATAAAAAATTTGCGTCCCATTTCAAAATATGGGCTTCCGGTTTGTTTGATTCAGTAAAACGACCAAAAGATAAAGCATTCCCGACTTGGTAATTCATATTCTTGCGTTTTCCAATACAAAAAAAACATTCTCCTCAATTTTAGAAAGGGTGGACGGGTGGTTTAGGACACGCGGTATAATTCGAATATTATATATTTAATTGCGTCAATACATCCATACAATCACATGACAGCCTAAGCAAACAAAAAAAAAAAAAAAAAAAACAATTTATTGCCTGCTCCACCCTACTCAAGAGATATTTCCCACAGGTTCCAATTAAAATTCAATTGTGAAGAGATACATACATACTTAGCTATTTACTTATGTACGAAATTTCTTTAATTGAAATTGTGTACATTTGTATGTATGTTTACCAAGCAATTAATCAGTTAAAAAATGTTGATAAAAACTGTAAACATCTCATTATAGTGTCTAAGTCAACCTCAGCCAGCCATAAATTAAGTATGTATGTTTTGATAACATTTATGGGTTATACAAAAATTTACATATGTATGTATGTGCTTAGTATATTTTTAATCAGTTGTCAACGGATGTTTCGTCATTGTATCTAAGCTGTAGCGCTAATAACATCGTCAATCAATGGATGCAATTTTTCTGTGTTCTTTCGTTTGGGAATAAAGTGAGAGCCAATAAGCCGAACGGGATTAATAAAAAAAAACAGCTAAATTAACAAAGTTCAAAAAATTTTAATTTAAATTATCCAAGTTAAAATAAAATCAAAATAAATGAAATTAAATTGTTTTAAGGGAAAAAATTAAATATTCAACTCAGTTGTTCGATCCCCACAGTGTTCCGTCTAGAACAAGCTAGCTGGACAAAATTATTTTCTAAGATTTTACGTTTCCTCTATATCCAAGAACTCAATTTATGTAATTTTATTAACAAAAGGAACATTTTTTAAGAGGGTTGCCACCTGTTGAAAAAGTAAAATTCAGTTTTAATAATAAAATATGACAGTATAGGTGTCAAACGAAAGAGGATTAAAAAAAATATTATTTCGGTTATATTTTTGAAAATCGTTGCCACCCTTCTAAAAGCCCAAATTGGATTATATAAAATATTTTAATAAAATATTACAATATGGGTATCAAACGAAAGAGGTTTAAGAGATCTTTAGTTTGAAGAAGGCTATCAATGGAAAATCAATTAAATCTATGAATTTATACCTTTATCTTCCTATGCTTATTTGAATTTGTAAGGAAAAACTAAGTGAACTTTTCAATGCAACGCCTCAGTAAATCGCTTAGAACAAGCTAG